GTTATGTTATCCCGTACAGTCGTCATGTTGTCTATAATACATTGTTGCGGTTGACTCGGTCTTTCTCTGTTTCCACCATCTTCTGCCTCGTTTTGGCGATCATAATATATTTGCTCATTACTCGTATTTTCAGTATACCGTTCGAAGATATCCTTATTGTACATTCTGATAAAATTATGAAGTATACAACATGCCATAACAATCTTCCCTTCTTTGTCCACCAGGTAATTGTTCATTCCATTCAGAATACGGAGCTGTCTTTTTAAAACACCAAAGGTTCTCTCAACAACATTGCGGAGTGAAGCATGTCTGTAGTTAAACAACTTTTATGGCCCCCTTCGATTACAGCGGTGATCAGAAATATGGTAAGCCACTCACCTATGAGGGGCGAGGAACCCTTCTCTATTTGGATAACCTATATCAACCAAATAATATTTCCCTGTATTAAAATCAACCATGTTATTTGAATTCTAGGGCCTCAACAGTGGAGCAAATACGCCATAATACGTCAAAAAAATACTTATACCTGGTGAAGGATGTGGGAATCCAGAATTAGGATTATCAAGAATTGAATTTAAAACTCTTGAATCATGCACAGATCCATCCATCCAGTAACGACATAAGTGAACATCATCCTAAAGTCGCATACAACTATTACATTCTGTGACAACGATCCTTTGTGATTCCGGTACCCATCGCTAAATTCTCGTGGAACCGAAGCATATACATGTGTGCCATCAATGGCTCTAATACAGTCCTATCATCAAAATTAAATTTTAGTCATATTAGCCGACTATCAACATTAATAACACAATGAACTTAATTATTCACGAATAGAAAACATAATGAAGAAGTACCTTAAAGAAAGGGTAATATTTTCGGTTGGTTGATATTTCCCATGGAACATCACTGAAGTTAGGTGGCCTGATAAACTCTGTCTTCAACTCACATATCGCCTCGCAAACTTTGCCAACATATCTAGAGATCGTCTCACCCAAATGTTGGAAATCCTCCATCATCGTTTTGATTGTCTAGTTTTTACCAACGATTGTCAGAAATATCATAACTTGTTCTTCTATACTCATTCTCCTGGTTGGTCGCAATTTCCCTTACTATGCCAAAATGTAACATAAGTATGTAAAACAGTCTTTGTCCATGCGGAACTTATCAAAGATCCTGTCAGCATGACCATTAAGTACTTCTAACATGTACTCATGACCAGTTAATATGGATGTATGTCGTAGTTGAAGCCCAGCTGTTTCTAATGCGGTAACACCGTAGAGTGCAATGGTTATATCTGTCAGTATTTCTTTTTCCTCATCTGCAGAACGTCGTCTTCTTCCTATACGACTAGACGACGCCATTTAAACCTGCACATTTGTAAAACATTGATCAACAATTAATAGTTATTGTACTACTTAGCAAAATATAATAGTCAATATTAATTCTAATGACAATCCCAAACTCATATGAAACATGTACTTTCACATAAAACAACAGCACAATGAATAAGTTCATACAGTAGTAGACAGTTGGGGACATTTTCAAATTAAGGTGTTGAATAGAAGTTTGGTTTAACCATAAAAGGACAAGTGCCCACTGGTGCATACAAAAGTGTTGGCAAACACTTAGGACATACAGTGTCATCTACAAATTGCGAAAGTTATTATAAATCCAATTAGCCTTTTCTTCGGGCAGGAGTTTCATGAATACCTCCCGCCACCCTAGATTTTGATATAAGTACTTGACAACTAACATGTAAAACTCTGTGGGTACTTGCATGGTCGTCAAGATGTCAATACAATTGCTCATAGAAAATGGATCAGATGGAGCACCTGTGTTCTCTTCGTCCCCCTCATCTCCATTGCGATTACTAGCCCGATGTTCTCTTCGTCTCCCTCATCTCCACTGCGATTACTAGCCCTTGATCCATACTCCGCCTCTCCACACGAACGTTCATTAATCTGCCAATGATATCCATAAGTGCCTGTCTCGGGCTGCTTCTGTTCCTCATTTTTCTTGGTCTTCCATGACCAGATGTGTTTGGCCATTTTTCTTTTGTCGTCCGATCTGGATCAGGTTTAAAATCACTATCAGCAATGTCAACTGTGCCCTGATTGGAAGAAGTGAAGTTCTCCACTGGTTAAGATATAGATGTGTTATCTCCTAGTGGCAGTTTGCTTCTCAAATATGATTTCATAAAGCTCCTCGTGAGGAAGTCCCTTGTGGTAGAATTGTTGTGCCTGTGGGTTTTGTTGGTAATGCAAAATAAAAATATGTTAATATTTAGCAGTCCCAAAAAAAAAAAAAAATGCGAACAAATACGGTGTCGCTGATTAATATTAGTTAAAAAAGTTTAAAATTTACCTTGACATATTCTTGCCAAACCTGTACGGGACACATTGGACTTTGCGACTCATGATCCCACCCGAAGCCAATGTGTTGCAGCAATTTTTTCCATGCTTGATATACTTTTCACAAGCAAAAGTACTTAGAGGTTAGTTGTGTCATGTTGAGTCTCCTCCCAGCCAATGATGATAAGTCATCCAACATTTCCTAGTAATCTGCTGTTTTCATTGAAGTACCGAGTGAAGTTTTCGCCCACTTAAATAACAGGATTAGAAATTTGTGGGTTATCTCAACGGACCAGTTCACAGTATCACTCATCTAATCACTGTACAGTGAGAACGACAACCAAGATTGGGACACCATACCAATCACTAAACACATTACAAACACACATACGCACATTTAAACATAATAAAGTAAACACAGATAAACCATTACCTCGTTCGATCCGACATTGCTTGAAGCCGTCAATGTAGGGGAAGATATAGGCAATGTTGACCAACAGGGTGTATGACGAACTCCAAGTCTAGAAAAACATCGAAACTTTCGCCTTTGCTACAAGTAGTAATCAATTCTGCGACGTCGGGATAAATTATAGTGACATCTGTTCATATGATCGTAATTTGTTCTTACAATCTTTTTATTGTTTGTCCCTTTCACAATTTACATATTTCCCTGTAAAGATTGAAATTTTAAAAACAATACCAACAAAATAAAAAACTTTTTTTTTTTTTTTTTTTACTTATTTTAGCTTTATATATTTACATATATTGATGCAAATTGTCAAAGCAAATACGCCATTACATTTGCATGGTGATGTGTTGTTCGTATCAGATGGTCGGAGTCGGTTCATGTTGAGGCGACGATGATGGTGGTTCGTGGCAAATCGACGACATTGATCTTCGCTTCGTGGCAGATAAGGACTGACGGGAGATTTTAATGGTAGATCAGCCATGACAGGAGGTCTTTGTGGTAGATCGATGACGACGGGAGATCTTCACGGTAGATCAATAACGATGGGAGATCTTTGTGGCAGATCGACGACGACGGGAGATCTTCGCGGCAGATCGGCCACGACGGGAGATCTTCATGGTAGATTGGCGATGACAAGATATCTTCGTGGCAGATCTTCATGGCAGATTGGCGATGACAGGATATCTTCGTGGCAGAAAAGACAACAATGGGTGTGGTTTGTGGCAAAAAAAACAACGATGGTAGTGGTTCGTGGCAGATCCTGATCGATGGTGGTGGTTCTAAGGTGGCAGACAATGAACGATGGACGATGGTATTATGATGATGGTTTGCTTTTGTGATGATGGTGGCAGTGGATGGTTTGTGACAGTGGGTTTTGTTTTGTGATGATGGCGGCAGATGGTGATGGGTGGTGGCGATGCGTTTCTGTTGTGATAATGGTGGAATAATGTGTTTGGGTGGTCCTATGGGGTTGTTTTCTGATTCAGGTGGAAGGTTGTTTGGACAATGTGCGGTGGGTTTGTTTTGTCTTTGCTGGTGGAAGGTCAGACAATGTGCGGTGGGTTTGTGTTGTTGGAATTGAGAGGAAGATGGTTTCTAATGGTGGTGAAGCAGTGAAAAGAGAAAGTGAAATTAAAGAAGACAGCACTGCAAACTTTGTCTTCAATGGTCAAAAATCTGTCAGAATCCTGTTTTTAGGATTCTATTATCTAAATAATAAACCAAACTGTATTTTGAAAATTGGGTTTAGGGTAGGGTAGGAAATAGCAAACCAAACGGATCCAATATTTTTGTCCATTAATATTTCTGTTAAGGTAGACTAAAATCTAGAAATTGTACATATTAATATTTTTAAAATTTGAGGGTGGGCCATGAACTAGTACTGTATCCACCCTTGATGTAGGGTGTTATATGACCTTGAGAATTAAGCAGGCTCCAATGTAGAATACCTCATATACCTTTAAAAAAAAAAAAAAAAAAAAGTGTTATTCCAGTCTGGTACATGTCACATGTCAACAATTCCTTACTATTGCATGGAACTTTTTCATCTTTGAAGTATTTTATGATTAAGAAGCAATTGCCTCTTATATAGGTTGTGAATTAGTCTACTATAAATATATCTTGGATATTTGATTTCAACTAAGGTCTCAACCAATGTTTTAAGATCCAACCCAGACCTTAACCCGATGAAAGGCTTAGATATCATGTTGATCGATCCAACTGATAGGTCGAATCGGTGACGTCATCATGCTAACGTCAGCATGATGTAATAATAAAAATTAATAGAGGCTTAAATGTGATTTCAGAAAAAGAAAAAATTAACTTAAACTTTGAATTAAGTTGTTAATGAACAAGACAATAAATAGATTAAAGGCAAATAAATTAATAAAATTAAAAATTGAATTGAATTGAATACGAAAACAAACAAAAAATTAGAGAGAGGGGTCAAACTTCTGGAACTTGAATGAAAAAAGAATGATATTAAAATAATAATTGAAATTCGATAATTTTAATAAATAGATTAAATTAGATTTATGATAAAAATAAAAATAAAAATAGAATAAAATGATATTCAAATTATCTAATTAATAATAAAAGAATATTAATATATTAATATAAACATAAAAAAAACGTGAAAATGAGAATCTAACAAAATCTTATCTCATATATGTACCGTATCCTTATTCCATCCTCTTGCTCTCAAACAAAATCTCAACCATTCATTTCTTCATTCATCGCTACCCGCGCAAACACATCTCCCACATCCTATCAAATAAACTCACCTCTATCCACATTCTAATCATCCAACAAACATCACCAATCCCCGATCATCATCAAAAATCTTAATCATAATCATAATCAAAATTCAATGGAGAACACCCAGCAAGGTCAATCCTCCTCATACCCATAGCCCCAACCTCCTTCCTCTACTGCTGTTGTCGCCGCGCCTTTTCAGTTTTCACCACCTCCTTCAACAGCAACAACAACATCTCCAAATATTTTGGTCTTGCCAGTGTTAAGAAATCGATCAAGTCAACGATTTCAAGAACCACCAGCTCCCTCTTGCTTGTATCAAGAAAATCTTTGATGTAGATTACGAGTTGAATTGAACTTTGAAGAGGCAGCTGCAGAACGGTTTTCCTCTATTAGTGACCCGGTTTAGACCCCGAGCCGGTTAGATCGACGGTTCGCTACTATTCTTCCGGTTCAACCGTGGGTTACTCCGGGTTACTTGATATAGCCGAGTTTAGTTGTGATTGACCCAAATTACAACCCAGTTTCCGGTCCAACCGGTGGGGCCAGCTTTCAAAACATTGTCAACCAGAACTTGAAGAAAATCCTATAATAATAAGGCCGTCATAAGCTCAAACAACAAATTACATTTAACAGGATTGAATTTACTGATGTAAATATCGCAAAGAACATATAATATTGTTGTTGAATGTTGATGCATTTTCACATTCATTATTATTTGATTTTTTTTCCTTTTATGGTAATGAAGCTCAACTCCAATTCATATTGTTAAACATATCCTACAACAAAGAAAGTACAATAAAACTTTTATTTGAAAAGAAAGAAATGGAAATACATATATAAGACTTCAACGTATAGGTTTTGAACTGAAGAGTGAAAAAGAGTTGAAGATCATTCAAACGCAGCAATTGCAGGCCTCGGAGGATCAGACAAATATATGTCAAGAAGTTGATCAATTGTGGAGAACTGAAAATCTGAATACAACTTAGAAGCCTCAATGTCATTCTTATCAAGTTCAAAGCTCATCATTTCACCTTTTACAAATATGCAGTGTAGAATGGATATTGGTATATTTTCTGGATGTGGTAGGGCTGCAATTAAAACATTTAAGCATTAAATTTAATATGATTGTTAAAAAATTAATGAAAATTTTACCCACAAATAAATGAGACAATTTCGAAATTATTATGGAGTAAATGGAATGAATAAATTGTAGTCGAAGTTCTTACTCTCGGCTTGTTTCACTAAATCTTCCTCTGCAATATGAACCCTTTTGAAAGTACGACCAGTCTTTTGCTCCCAAAGTGAGATCAATTCAAGTTGTGATATGATATTTTTTTGAGGACGATAAATCACAACTCGATTGCACGTTTTAGGGTCATTTGCCACTTTGATTGTGCACATGGCTATATCCTCTTCATAATTTAACACAGCTGCATATAGATGTTAATGCCAAATTAAGGGTTAGGTATAATCACATAACAAAGTTCTTTCCGTAGTTATTATAATAATAGAAATTCCACTATCGTTAAATTTTTGATATTAAAGTAAATGATAGAAGGGCAATTATATATATATTTATTAATCTATCATGTTATAAATTCTAACGGCATACCAAAGGTTCAAAGATTTATGTTATTTAAGAAATTTTAGAGGGAATATTGTTATTTAATTAAACCTTACGGGGTGGAGAAAGCCCCTTAATTTACTATCTACTTATAGTGAAATTACGATATAATATTTTGTTGAAATAAATATTACCTTTTGCTTCACCACTGCCGTAGACAAGTATATGTTCTGGTTGGTCATATGGGCGAAGCAAGAAATTAACAAAGTAAGCGCCGAAGCAATTAGCTGAAACGAAGGTGTAAGGAATCCCGGCTGCTTCTATTGCCCTTCTGATTCTTCTCTTTTTCTCTAGAAAATTGTCAAATGGAGGTAGAGGTCTCACCCTGTCCTCTTCACATCCAAAATCTGATGGAAGAAACCTCTACCAAAGATAAATAAGCTGGTTATTACTAATTAAATAAAAATTCCTAAATGAAAACCTTATATATATATATAAAACATTACCTTTATATTACCAGCAACTTTGATAGCATCTATGATCTTGAATTGGTCAAGAACTTGAGGATAAGCTAGTGCAGATATCACCACGTCCACTTCCCTAATTACACTTACAAGTTTCTCATGTTCATCTAGCTCTCCCTGCATTTTCATTTCTCCTTTTTAACTTATTAAAAATGAAGTTTCCTGTAAATATATGGAATAAAAAGAGTGAGAGAGAGAGGGAGTATTAATTAATTACTTGGACAATGATGACACCGAGGGACTGAAACTCCTTGTGTAGTTGTAGCTTGGAGAGACTGGTTTTCTCTGAGATTGGACGAGCATAAGCATATGTTTTATGGCCTAAAGAAATGCTTGCTTTCACCATATACTTGCCTATGTATCCAGTTCCCCCGAATATCAGGATCTTATTCGTTGCCTCACTATCCATTGCTCCCTTTCACCCTCATCTCCATCTCTTCATCTGTGTTATATATTTATAATAATATATGGTTGGATGTCATTGATGTGTTGCATTATAAGTTAATTATGGGAAAGTTAACTTTTTATTTCAACTTGAAATTAATATATGATACTAACACACCATTAATTTGGTACTAACACTTTGTTGCCATATTTGGGATATAAAGTTAAAATCTCAATTTTATATGCATAGTATTATTATATATTAACCCGCAATGCTCAAAATAAATTTGACAGTTAATTTGACTATTAAATTATATCATTTATCTCAGTATGAAAAGTCTATAGTATGACGGTGCTAATAATATAATATACTATAAGGCAATATATATATATATATATATATATATCAAGTAGTTATAAATATCTGATAATCACATATCAAAATTAATTTAAAGAGAGAGGAGAGAAAAAAAATTCAAAGATATCATAAATTCACTGGAGTGTGATATGTATGATATGAATGTGATACCTTGTTGTATTTTAAATTGTTTCATCTTAATATCTTATAATTAAAGAAAATGTGTTATCAAATCAATTGTAGTTCGAAACCCAAAATTGAATTCCCAACTTCATATTATTGATATTCATTTTATTTTTTGAGAATGTTTCTAATTAAGACGACTATTAAATATTAATTAATTTTAATATTCTAAAATGTACCTATTAAATCCTCATAATGACATAAAGTTTTTGTATACTTACCTTTTTCCAATAATTTTTATTTAAATGCATAGATATGGGAATCTGTGAGAGTCTGGTGGAATAGTCATTTTCTTTTATTTTTCTCATCCCAAAACAACCTTAGCCGTTGGATTTGGAACCTGCGGGGGCTAGTTGGTCGGTCAGTTGCTGATCGATGAAAACGTACGCAGTGGCCTTTAGCTAAATAATTATTGCTTACACATGCTATAATTGGACGAGGCTGCCCCACACATAATTAGTACGTATACTGTCTTCTTCCCTAACCATTATTCAATGTCAATAATGATACGGGTACGTTTCACATAATTAAATTTTTTTCTAGTGAACAACCGTTCATTTACGTAAACTCTCGTTCATATTATATGAATATGAGTCCATTTACTACGGACGGACGTCCTCATTTAAAGGATGCACATCCATTAGTAAAATGGAATAAAAAATATAAATAAAATTAAGGGATAGTCGTCCCAAAAAATGGACAGGCGTCCACATATAATGGACGCCTATCCAATATTTTAATAATAAAATTTTATTAAACAAAATTAATGAATAGACGTTCATATGGTAATGGATGCTCGTCCATTAACAATGCTTTTAAAAAAATTACAAAAAATTTGGATGCCAGTCCACAAGGAATGGACGGTCGTCCCTCATGTGCCATCAGTTTGTAGATTCTCTCAACCTTCTTCATATACTCATCTGTCAGTTTCTGCATAAAGAAAAGGGACGTTAATAATTTCAGAACCCACTAGGACGGTGTTATCGGATAAAAGCGAAATTACAGAATGAGATATACAACAAAGAGAGTCAAGATTCCTAAAGATTTTTGACAGCATCTAGGGAAGCAAGGTCGATGAATTTTTTTATGCTTGGTGCCCTGGACTTCAATCTAGGTCCAAAGCGCCCTAAACAACATGGTACACAAAAGCAAGCACTAACTTACCTGCAAATCACTTGACAAGTCCTTCACGTTGTCTTCTGAGAGCTTATTTTCCTGCAACAAAATGTTGAAGATAAGTAAATACTACTTGAAGTGAAAGAGAAGGACATATGTAGAGTAAGAGACAAAATGCTTTTTTATTTTTATTTTTTAAAAGCATTGTTAATGGACGGGCGTCCATTACCATATGAACGCCCGTCCATTAATTTTGTTTACTAAAATTTTCTTATTAAAATATTGGACGGGCGTCCATTATATGTGACGCCCGTCCATTTTTTGGGACGGCCGTCCCCAAGTTATGGACGGCCGTCCCTTACTTTTGTTTATATTTTTTTATTCCATTTACTGATGAACGGGCGTCCTTTAAATGGAGACGCCCGTCCATAGTACATGGACTCCCGTCCATGTAAGTGAACGGCCGTCCATATTTGATGAACAACCATTCACCAGAAAAAAAATTTAATAACGTGAAACGTGTCTGGTTTGCTAGTGTGAATCACAGGACACATAGACTAGTACAAGATTTCGGTGTAAAAATGCTGGTGTCCGCAGCATTATTGTATTCAATATACATTCATCTCCCATCTTCATGTCAACGTCCTTTTTCTTTCTCACCTTTTATCATCTCCTACAAAGGCCAAAATATCTGCCATTAATTCCTTCCTTTTATTAATTTACCATGCAATATTTAAGAAATTAAATTACTGTAATTTAGTTAACGTTATGGAATCGATTTTAATGATTAGATTGATACATGAAAAAAAAACATTCAAGTATTTCTAGTCGTGTGATGAATTGCTTGCTCCAGCAATAATTAGAGACAATGAACCACCCTAAGATGATCGGATGGAACGATAAGAACTCTTGGATGTATTAATATTCAAAAGGTTTTGAGTTTGATCACTCTCGGTTGCTAATAGAGATGACCATTAGAGGATTTACTTAGCCGTTAACTTTAGAGTCCGAGAGATTAATTGAGATGTGCGTAAGCTGACCTAGACACCTCCAGTTATCAAAAACAATTATAAAGAATGACTAGCAATAACTGTAAGACAAATATTTTTATAATGGTTAATGCTATTCGTATAAATTATGTTTATAAAACCTAGTTTCATCTCGAGTATTTTAATCTCATCACAATCGTGCCCCCTTCACAAAGCTTAGTTGTCTTAGTTTTTAGTTTTTCTTTTGCCAAGTATTAATAATCTTTCTATTATGCGACTTTATCTTTATTTTAGATTGCTACTTGTTGCATTCAATTGTTATCAGTTTTTGATTCACTTCTTTTTTCAAATTTTTAATAGTTGCATTTTACTCATAAGTGCGCGCACGCGCACACACACACAGAGTGACGGAACCAAGAATTCAAGTAAGGAAAGGCAAAATTCAGAAAGTGATATAATTTATAATTTTCAACAAAATTATAAATATTTAAAATTTAATTATCGATAATATTTTTATTCAATACAATTATAATTATCATTGACACGTTTTGATGTTTTGAAAGTGATCATAGTTAATATTTGTTATGCCTGAAAAAGTAAGGTTGACGCAAAACCCAGTCAGCATAAAAAGTCAGAGCTTAGGCAGGCCCGTAACCATTCAGAGGTAGCCACGTCGCATAATGGCAGGGGTGGCATGCTTCTGTCAGTGCAGCGGGTGCGCGTCAGACTAGCCAGGAGCTAGATTGATTCCAAGTATCCAATCCCTGCACCAAATCGCGTAAATCGCTCTAGAAGATGGGCAATGGGACATAAAGAAAGATTTGCACGGATAATTCCACCAACTCACAGATTTAGTAATCATAACCTTAACCCATCCCACTATAAATTGAAAGCTCCTCTCTCATTTAGGGGATTAGCTAATCTCTCTAAACAAATTGCATTTTCTCTCTCTCTCCTTCTCTCGTGTAATCATTTGTAAGTCAGTCTGCTGAAAGTGACCTGACCGCTATTATCAATATAAAATCAGTGGATGTATGATTTGCTTTCTTGAGCATCCGAACCACTTTAAACATTGTTCTCCATTGCTTTTACTCTCACACTCTCATCCACGTGTGTCATCTGAGCCAGCTCAGCATTTCACACGTGCGTTTGGTTGGTGTCAAAATCACGCATCAACAGTTTGGCTCTAGAAGGAGGGTCTGATTTAGTATTCGTCCTTCATTAGGAGAATATCTGACTAACTGGTCCTACAACAGCAAATGGCTCTCCAATTCGAACCTGAGCGAACCAATCAGGGTGCTGAGGAGATCCCCCAAGTACATGACACTAATCCCGAAGTGCCCTCAGTTCCACGAAATGCCGCGGGGGATATCCTTTCAAGTTCATAACTTGACCCTGCCATCATGAGCTACATGGAGAGGTTCAACAATACTTTCTAAACGGTCAACCAAAGGTTGGACCGTTTGGATCGGGGCATGCCACCCGAATCAAATGGGGCGATGCAACTGCTAAAAACGCTTGCAGGTTGGTCAAAAGCGCGGCAAAGGGCGATAACCCGTGCCCTGAGCACTGCAGCGCACCGAAGAAAGGGTAAGTAAGTGGCAAAAAATGGCCCTAAGGGCTCCAAAGGGCCAGCGAACACCGACCACGTCCCGAGTAGAATACCCATGACTTTAAGACTCAGTGAAAGGTCACAGCCCGAGTTGTCCCATGCCGCATCTCACGCGTACCCCCATAAAAGTGCTGGGCGGGGCGATTCTTATCATCGCCAGCAAAACGATCCTGATCGTCATCATGCGGGAGGTTCCCACACTTCGCAGGGTGGTTCATACCATCGCGGAGGTTGTGAAAATTCTTTGCACCATTGTCGCCATCACATGACTCTGGCCAACGTGTGTCAAGGGTGGCCGGAACTGCTAGCCGAGGCGTAGAGGAATCCAACCTCCGGACTTTCCTCAACCACAATCGTGAGGGTCGAACTCGCATGGCGGAAAGCAATCCCCTGATAGCTCCGCTGCCTCATATTGAGAAGCTGCAATGAGCTCTAGACTAGCTAAAAGCTCAACAAAATGAGCAAGGGTAGGTCGCAACAGCGTCTCATTTTCTCCAGCAGTGTTAGCTACCCCACTCCCATCAAGATTTAGAATGCCCGATATGCGGGTGTTTGATAGAAATTCTGATCCACATGATCACTTGTATGAATTCAATGACCTGATGGAACTTCATCAGGTTTCAGATTTGGCGAAGTGCCGTTGTTTGGCAGTAACCCTAACCTCTCATGCCAAATGGTGGTTCAAGTCGCTCCCAGTGGGATCGATCAGTTCGTGGCCTCAGATGAGCATGACGTTCCTAAGGCACTTCTAAGAAAACCGAAAGTTCTCAATGC